GGAAACGGGGAGGGGGCAGCATTGGCGTTCCTGGACATCTCCCTCTGGCCGGGCTCTCTGCTGGGCCTGTGGAGCACTGTCTCCTTGCATCACCAGAACAGTTAGATGATGGGTGTGCTGGTGGTAACTGCACCTCATGGAAGAGGAAATGGGCCGGGAGACGTTGAATAAGGAGCAGTGTGGGGACTTGACCCAGGTCTGTAAGAAAACACCTCACCTCTGTGGAACATGGGATACGGAGGAGCAGTGTGGGCCTCCCTCCTTTCCCCTGGCCACCTCCACAGCCTTAGGCTTTGTGGGAAGGAAGGGGACCCGGGTGAGCACAGTCCAGATGTTCTTGGTCTCTTGATGAATCAAGGGGAAACCTGGCTCACTTGCTGGTGGTCTGGATACTCACAATGGATCCTGGCTTCTGCTGGGGCTCAGTTCCCCATTCCTGGACTGTTTTGGCTGGTGGAGACTGGCCTCAGCTGGCTGGGCACTGAATGGGGCTAATTTTTTGAAAAAATATGTTTTTATTTATTTGACAGAGAGAAAGAGAGAGAGAGCACAAGCAGGGGGAGCAGCAGAGGGAGAGGGAGAAGTAGGCTCCTTGCTGAGCCAGGAGCCCGATGTGGGACTTGATCCCAGGACCCTGGGATCATGACCTGAGCTGAAGGCAGACGCCCAACTGACTGAGTCACCCAGGTGCCCCGGAATGGGGCTAATTTCTTTTCCTTCTGTGCATTTGACAGACTTAACAAACACCAGACTTACCTAGCTGGTCTTAACAGTCCTCCCACAAAATCTCTGCTGAAGCAGAGAGCAGAAGAGTCCAGAAAATGGCATCATTCAAAGGAATGTCGGACAGGTTGCTTCCTCCCTTCTCCTGGAGTTGCAGCTGGGAGACCCTCCTTAGGACAGCCGCGCCTCCCATCAGGGCTTGCTGTTCCCTTGGCCTTTGCTCTTTAGGGTCTACCCTTGGCAGCCTATTAACCCTCCAAGAAAAGAAATATTGACGTCAAAGGTGGCTTCTGAGACAGGGGAAAGACTGAACTAGGGCTCCCTGTGCTCCTGTCTTCAAGTCACATGAGCTCTCCACTGACTCACCGATCCCATCTGGGAAATGGGCATAACTGGCTCGGCCATCAAAAGAGGTAGTATTCTAAGCTCCACAGGCTCTCCTTGGTCTCAGTTCAGACCCTCTCCCCAGCAAAGACCTCCCGGCTCCAGCCCCAGTAATTAAATCCCCCCTTCTCACCTCCCCTTATGGGGCTTAGATGATGAGAAAGAAGGTGGATCAATCTGACAGCAGTTCATTGGCCCCATGGGGCTATGGGATTGGGGGTGCTCACCCTGATCCCTGGGCCCAGGTCCTTTTGGAACAAGTACATGAATGTCCAGGTGCTCTAGGACACTTCATTTTATTTCTCCCTGAGGTGCAGAACCAGACACTGACCTTGAAAGGGCAACACAGCTCCCCAGGAGCCTTTCAAAGGCCCTGGTGGTGATGGTGGGGGCAGTGGAGAGAGGAGGGGCAGGAAGGAGAGGGAGAGGGGGAAGGCGAGGCGGGAGGGTCAGTACTGTAGGAAATCCTGTCAAGGCAGAATGCATCTACTCCCACCCTCACACCCACAGGCCAGGGAGAGACCCTCACCTTCCAGATGAGGTGCACACCTCAGCATTTAGCTCCGGCACCCACAGCAGGGGAGCTCCGGTGAGAGCCCAAGGGTAGAGAAGCAAGAGGAGGTAGCGGACAGCGGAGGGTGGGAAAGGACGACGGCAGCCCCCGACTGGCCTCAGAGGGATGGTTAGCGTGAGGTCCATTTGGAACCACTGCAGAAAGCGGGGTTCAGGGCAGCTGCTTGGGAAGGCCTTCCAACAGGCAGGCAGATTCCTGTCACGGCCAGAACTCAGGAAAGCAGGGGAGGAGGGTTTGCAGCTTTACCCGCGCCCTGTGTGGAGGCCGAAGAAGGCTGCCCAAAATGACCCAGTGAGGAGGGCCTTGTTCCCTCCTTCCGCTTCCCCTCTCCCTGATGCCTCCATTGAGGGGTCTCAGTGGGCTGGCAGGCTGTAACAGTGAGTGACATAAAGCACTTTCACATGGAGGTCCTAGGGTAGGAATTTTCCAAACCCATTTTGGAGGCAAGGAAATTAGGCCCAAACCAGGCAAAGGATAAGCTCGAGGCCAGGTGGCAAGAGGGTGGTGGAGCTTGCAGGGGAGGTCTGGTGAAGGGCCCCTTCCACAACGGTCCTCCAACCCCAAAGTGCCTGTCTCTCCTGGGTGAGCTCCTGCCCCTCGCCCGCAGCAGGCCGACAAAGGGGCAGCAGGCTGAGGAATGTGAAGGACCTCTGAGAAGCAGGCTGCCACTCAGCAGACCACCACATACAATGCCAGCCCGCCACCACCCTCCCTCCCTTGGCCCTGGCTCTGGCTCTTGCACTGACACCACCAGCCGAGCGCCCATTTATTTGTTACTGCCTGTGTCCCCCACTAGGGTGTCATCTCCACAGAGCCAGGCTTGATGTGTCTTGCTTATGACTGTGCCCGTAATGCCTCGGACAGGTGCCTTTAAATACCTGCATGAATAATGAATGGCTCTTAGGCTGGCCACTTATTAGCTGTGTGACATCGGACAAGTTACCCACCTCTCAGCTAACATTTATGCCCTTGCTATGTGCCAGGCACTATTTATCTGTGAGCTTTATACACATCAACTCGTATAAGCCCCACAGGAATCCTATGAGGTGGTCACCATTATTATCCCTGGTCATTGACAGATGAGGGAAGTGAGGCCCAGAGGGTGGGGTGACCTGTGGCAGGGAGGTGGCTGGTAGCAGAGCCGCGAAATCACAGGCCGGAACAGGTGCTTGGCCTAGAAGTGAAGTAACTGCTGGCCCCCACTTCTGTCCCCTCCTCCTTGTAACCTTTTGCCTATAAAACAGGGCTAATCACAGCTCTCCTTTCCCTACCTGCCCCCTGCTCAGCCCCCTCACCCACAGGGGCTGAGCCCTCATGGAGAGGATGCAGAGGCAAGGTTTGGGTTCTGGGGAAGGGCGGCGATCAAGGTATCATGAGCTCTCTGTTTGCCTCCATCAGCAACAAGCTTCCTCAGAGGCCTGGGTGCTGACCTCCTCTTCCACCTTCCACACACTCTTCTGGGTCTTGGGTTCTCCTGCTATGAAATGGGGAAGGGTCTCTCAGGCTGGGGGGCATGAGAGAGGGAATAGAGTCATAGTGATATGGAGGGATTTCCACTTCTGGTAATATGGTGGTCTCTGCCTGTTCCCACTAAAAACAACAAAAAATGTTGGACAGAATTAAAAAACATGTTCCAAAGCAATGAGGAGCTCACAGGGCAGTAGGGAACGAGGAGACCAAAATCTAAGAGAAAGCCAACTCCAGGGGGTGAGCAGGGCACCAGGGTCCCTCATGCCCCAAGACCATTGGCCAAGCTGAGCCCAAACGACCTTTGGCTTTCATAGTCTGTGGGGTGAGGAAGACAGAAGCTGACGCCTAGGCCTTATTGAGGAGGGGAGACAAGGGGGACAGCCTCCATAGTGCTGGGACCCCAAAGGGCTACATACTCAGCTAAAGGCCAGAGGAAACCGGGCCCCATCCCATCAGACCTCAGGGAACAGAGGACAGGACACAGACCTAGGGGCTGTATGCACAGGGAAGCCCGCAGGTTTTATGGCCCACTTACGGCCCTTAGGGCAGTGGGGCGCGGGCCGCAGAGAAGTCAGCCTGACTGTGGAAGGGCCCCTCGGAGAGTTTGCCTTCCTTCCTCCTATTCTTCCAGACACCCTGCAGATGGTCTCCTCAGGGGAGAGGGCAGTCCACAGCCCAAAGTGACCAAGAACCATTGACCTGGTCAGGCAGGGAGGATATCTCAGGCCTCAGTGTTCTCACCTGCAGATGGGGGGCTAAGCAGGTGAGATCTTGCTCTCCAAGATCCCCTCTGGCACAGGGATTCTCTAAGGGTGAAGCTATGTGTGCTTCTAGAGTGAAGAGGTGGGGGTGGATGTGATGGATAAGCCTGTCTCCTCCAACTGTGCTGGAAGGGGTTGGGGGGGGCGGTTGCTGTGCCCAGTTCCCAGCTCTGGGGGCGGACAATAAGGGGGTTGTGTCTGTGGCCCCGAATGGGCCTTTGATGTATGCATGGGTGGGTGGGCTGGTGGGGCCTATAATAAGGGCCGCCAGGGAAGGAGGCAGGGGAGCCCCTGGGGGCATCCTCAGCTTGACCTACTTGGGCCCCCATAATTGCTCCCTTCCTTCACTGGGAAGCTACAAATAGGGATGTCCTGTCTCTAGCCTCTTACAGCTGAAACCAACACCAGCGGTGAGTACCAGCTGCTTGGGTGCTGCCTGGATTGGGAGGCAGGGCAGCTCAGGGTCTGGGCATGGGCGTAGAGGGATGAGCACAGCAGGGACTGGCCTGGTGAGGGATGTCAGATATGGTGGGCTCAGGGGTCCTTTGTACAGCGAAGGGCTGTCTGGAAGCTTGGGTTAGGGGTGTGGAGCGCTGAGATCTGGCAGGGGTCGGGGCTTCACGGGGAAGAGAGGATTCCCTCCAGTCTCCAGGGACCCAGCTTCTGAAAGAGCAACTGTGGTGGTGCCAGCCAGGCTGGCAGGAGCCCAGAAGGGCCTCTGAGCACCTCGGAGTTTCCTTATTCCCTGCGTGTGTGGCCTTTTCCTCTGCTGGGAACACAGACACCTTGCCCCAACGCTGGGCTGTCACGGAGAGACCACAGGCAGTGCTTTGCCCCATCGCCCCGCCCGCAGCCCTGCCAGCCTTCTGCTCCACAGGGCCCAGCAGAGGGGCAGCAGGGACAGAGCCATGGCCTGGCAGCCTTGCTGCACACTCCTGTCCCCTGGGGGAACAAGGGCCTCGGCTCACAGGGGGATAGTACCGCCTTCCCGACTGCCTCAGGGTTTCCGCAGGCTGGAGGCAGCCTCCCAGAATGCGGTGGGATTGGGGGGAGGCGGGCACTTCCAGGAAGGCCTGGCCCTCTGACAGAACAGGGTGGTCCTATGCAGAGCCTTCTATCTCGCGGCCCCAGGGAGCAGGGAGACAGCTTCAGGGGGGGCAAATCACAGACCGGTAAATACCTGAGCTGACTCTTTCTGTGGACTGCGGTTCAGGTCCCTGAGTAGGCCTGAGAGGCGGAATGAACCCCAGTTTACAGCTAAGGCCCCTGACACCCAGCGTCAATGGCTCATCTGAGGTTGCGTGGCTGGTTCGATGCACAGGGGATCCCAAGCAGAGTTCACGGGAGGAGGGGTGGGTGACGGTGGTGAGGTGGTGGGGGTTCCTCTCAGACCTGACCCCTCCCTGAGAATGCCTAGCTTCTCCAAGGGCCTGAAGATGGGGCACACAGGGCAAGGGTCTCCTTGTGCTATTTCCTGCGGAAGGAGTTTGGGTCCTAAAGGTCAGGAGGCTGTATCTCCTGGGCTGCAGAGTGGGACTGAGCCCTTCCTGGGTGTCAGGGACAAGAGAAGGTAGACAGTCAGGGAGTCCTCAAGGATCCCCAGTGTGGGGGTGTAGTTGGGGGGTGGGGCACTCTCCCTGAGGAATTTGCAATGATGTTAGGGAAAGAAGACCTCCATCCAGGAAAATAACAATGGGGTAGTAGGGAAATAAATTAGAAGGGGCCGGAGTGGTCAGGGAGGGCTGCTCAGAGGAGAGCTTGTGGGGCCCGCCCGAAGCCTGGTGGAGACTAAGGTCTGGGAGCAGTCCCTGGGAAACGCCCTGGGCAGAGGTGCCCTGGGCCTCTGGCATGAGTCTCACACCCTTGTTCTCTGACAGTGAGGATGGCCAGGCCTCTGGAGCAGGCGGTGGCTGCCATCGTGTGCACCTTCCAGGAATATTCAGGGCGCTGTGGGGACAAGCACAAGCTCTGTCAGGCAGAGCTCAAGGAGCTGCTGCAGAAGGAGCTGCCCACCTGGACCCCGGTGAGCACCTGGGGTGGCCAGTCTGCAGGGGAGCACTGCCTGGACTCTGCAGAGACAGACCCGGGGGCAAGCTCTGAGCAAGTGGGGTACAGGCGAGGCTGTGAGGAGGGGACACCAGAAAGGGAACGGACGTGGCAGGAGTCCCGGTGTCCTCATCTGTGAGACGGGAAGGAGAGTCGCTACACCTGCTGCTTTGCAGGGCTACTCGGAGGACAGAGGGAGAGACACTCAGTGGCAGACAGTGGGATCTGAGAAGGATGGTGTGGGGGGCACGGACATGGGCGAATGACCAGAACAGGAGGCTGAGGCTGGCCCCCAGAGGGGTGTGGGAGGCGTGGGACCGCCCAGGAGGCGAGGGCGGGAAGTGGCATGCTCCCTCCTCAACCTGCCCCCTCCCCCTCCCCCTACACAGACCGAGCTGCGAGAGTGTGACTACAAGAAGTTCATGAGTGTTCTGGACACCAACAAGGACTGTGAGGTGGACTTCGTGGAGTACGTGCGCTCCCTTGCCTGTCTCTGCACCTACTGTCACGACTACTTCAAGGACTGTCCCCCTGACCTCCCCTGCTCCCAGTAGGCTCTGCTCCCATGGGCAGGGGTCTGCTGGGGCAGGACCTGATACGTTGGCCGGGCCTACCCATGAGGCTGGGGACGTGAGGGGACCTCCCCAGGAGCACAGCTAGAAAAACACAGAGCAGTCAGTTGCTGCCTCCCCACTGAGGCTGTGACGGGAGGGGGGGAGGCTGCCCTGCACACACAAGGCCCTTTTAACTCCTAATAAAGAACTGGTGTCTCTTGGTTTGGCTTGCTTCTTTTGATAGTTCGGGTCTCGGGGCAGAGTCCTCACTCCTCTCTGGTCTTTCGTGCTGGAGAGCAGGAGGCCGAGGGCGGTGTCAACCCAGCGGAAACATATGGTCTCCACCTCCGGTGGGAGGGGTGGGGTCAATATGAGGACAATGTCTAGGGGCTTTGGGGGTGTCTCTTTCTCTCTCTGGGGCCTTTGAAGGAGAAGCTCCCCTGGGCTGTCAAGGAGGACGCCAGGGCAGCCCGAGATTCCCTGGGGATGGTGCTCGGTCCTCAGCAAGGCTGTTCTGAGGAGGAGGGTGGGGTGTAGGGGTGGGGCGGGCTTGTTGGCCTGGCTGTGGGAGCCCAGAGAGCAGAACTAATAGGATTAGGATGTCTGAGGTCTGACTAGGGTATTGCTCCTGGCCAGGGAGGGGTACCCTGCATCAGAGGGGGAAGGGGGCACCTTGAGCCAGAACCCATCCCTGAAGCCATAACCAGCTGAGGGCCTTAGCCCCCCACTCCTGATCCCAGTCAACCTTAGTTCATACCCTACTCTGAGAGGGTGACCCTGATCCCTGCCTTCCCCATTTTGTGCCATTTCTTCTCTAACTTTCCACCCCAACCTGCGCTCTTCATTTTAATTCTTTCCCAACTCTGGATAGCCCCTCCTGATACCCTCCCTCTCCCCAGTCCTATGGGTACCTGCTGTCCATCCCTGAGCCCCACACTTGACTCCTACTCCCTACTCCATCACTACTGCACCCAGGACCTTCATCCACTGACATGCCTGGGGTGGTCCTGGCATCAGCTTCGGCTGTTGGTTTGCTCCTCCTCCAGACCCCCAGCTCCTGCCCTGGACCTCACTCAGCATGGCAGAGCGCCCTTTGGGGAGGGGAAAAGGGCAGCAAGAGCCGTACCACAACACTGAGCCTGGGGTCCCCTCCTTAGTGCTTGGGCAGCCACATTTCCAGGGCAATTTCTTTTTTTCAAGATTTTATTTTATTTTATTTTTTAAGTAGGCTCCATGCCCAACGTGGGGCTTGAACTCAAGAGATTCAGAGATCAAGAGTAGCGTGCTCTACCAACTAAGCCAGCACGGGCATTTCCAGGGCAGTTTCTCACCCATCACTCACCTCCCCTGTATCCCCCTTTCTAGCTGCCCAGTGGGACCACTTCCTCCCTGTCCCCCATACCCAAGGCACAGACTTCCTCTAGCTCCCTAAAATTCAGGTTGAGCTGTGCCCACTGGGGAGTGCCCAGCCCACTGAGCCGCCTGCTTCTGTGGGCTCTCCCATTGTCCAGTGTGCCTGCCCAGGGCAGGAAGCTGGGTTTCCAGCTGGGCTGGTGGAGGGGCCCACGGGAGGACTGTCTGTCACTCTTCCCCAACTCCTGCTATGGGCAGGGCCTGGCCAGGGTATAAATAGGACAGACCGCTGGGTTTTCCCCACTCTTTCTCTCTTCGCACCCTCTCTCCTCATCTCCCCCTCCCTCTTGGCCTGGTGAGTCGTGGTCTCCTGACTAGCACACAAGGGGTGTCAGGTTGAAGCTGGGGTCAGGCTCAGGGCAGAGGAAGGAGTGGCTGGTGGGGGCCAGATGTGCTAACTGGGTCCAGCGTGAGATTCTGATGAGGAGGCCCTGTGGTGGGATGTGTGTGTGTGTGTGTGTGTTTGCGCACCTGCATGCACATGCAAGAGAAAAAACCCAACAAAACAAGAAGTGTGCAGGTGGCTGGATTTGACCTAGCTGGGTGGTGATGAGATGCTGGGCTTTGTACATGCTGTTGCTGTAGTGTGTGTGACCTGTGGGTCTGCACATTGGCTTGTGTTTGCTGGGTTGCACAAGCCTGTGTGTGCACACTCGGGTGTGGGAAGAAAACTGAAGGCAACTGGCCTTTCGTCTGGTTGTGTCCTCCGGGCCTCTGCTCTGCACCCAGCAGCCCAGCCAAAGGGAGCTTGCCTCCCCACCCCTCCCTTGCATCCCTGCCCCTGCCACCTCACCCTGCCCCTCCCTATCTAGGGCTAGGCCGCCGGTTTTTTCCGCTGCAGGCCCCTGGGAGGGGGAGAATGGGGCAGGGCGGGGCTGCTGTGGCCGTGGGAGTACTGGGGGGTGGGGAATAGCTGGTGAGGCCCAGCCTGAGCAAGGCTGCCTGAAATCCAGAGCCTGTGCAGCGGTCCTGGCCAGTGTTGGTGGCCCGAAGCACACACTTTCCACCAGGAGCTGAGCCCCACCTTTCTGGGGCCCCCCTCTGGTGAGAGCAGAGTCTCACCAAGTGGTCCCTGAGGGATGGGAGTGGGGTGGGGCATTCTGAGGGTGGGGCTGGGGAAGATAAGGGTGTCTCTGGGACCCTGTCCTCAGATCCTGACTGCCACCATGGCATGCCCCCTGGAGAAGGCTCTGGATGTGATGGTGTCCACCTTCCACAAGTACTCGGGCAAGGAGGGTGACAAGTTCAAGCTCAACAGGTCAGAGCTAAAGGAGCTGCTGACCCAGGAGCTGCCCAGCTTCTTGGGGGTGAGTGGCTACTGCCTGGGAGTCTGCCCCTGTGTGCCCCCTTCTCCGCAGAGGAGGGGCAAGGCCTGGGTGGGGGGGCACCAGTGGTTTGGCAGAGTCTGTGACAGCTGGCATCTGTCACCGAGATGGGGACGTCCGGGCAGAGGGCTTGCTCTAGTTGGAAACAGAGTGAGCACCCGCCGCTCATTTCCTGGAGCCCGGTAGGAAGAGGGCTGGGAACGAACAGGTAGGACGCCCGCCAGACTTCGCCAGGTACTTTGTCCAACTCAGCTGAAGGGCAACAAAAGTTGAGAGAGGCTAAGGAACTTCCTAAGGTAGTGAAAGTGCGAAGCTGAGATCCACAAACCGGGATGTTTACCATCAGTCCAGCAACGAATAATTTTTGAGTCTCTGTGCATGTGAAGACACAGTTATGGAGACACATGCCTATGCTCCCGAGCACTCACAGCTCCCATTTATATCAAACTTTATGCAGTTTGTAGGTTACCTTCATGACCATTGTCTAGTTGGGTTCTTGGAACAACCTTGGGGGAAGACATTGTGGTCCCCTTCTCCAGCTGTGCGCAGGTACTCAGAGTTCCTCACCCTTTGGGGTGATCTTCTGTGGCCCCAGCCTAGCCCCTGAGAGCTGGGGTTCCAAAGCGGGGCCCCCAGGGCAGGCCCCCAGGGAGTGGCCGTGCCTTCTTGAGCTCCCATCTGAAGATGGAAACCTGGTGTAGTCTTGGCTCCATCCCCAGACTTTGTGGTTCTACCTGTCGCCTCTTCCCTGCAGAAAAGGATGGATGAAGCTGCCTTCCAGAAGCTGATGAGCAACTTGGACAGCAACAAGGACAAAGAGGTGGACTTCCAGGAGTACTGTGTCTTCCTGTCCTGCGTCGCCATGATGTGCAATGAGTTCTTCGAAGGGTTCCCCGATAAGCAGCCCCGGAAGAAGTGAAGGCCCCCGTGTGGGTGGGGGGTAACTTACCTGTTGGTAGAGGGCACAGGACCTCACCCCGGCTCCACCAGATGTGTGCACGATGTGGACCAAGTTCAATAAAGATCCTTGGAAGCTTTGAGGCTGATGGTCTGAGAGACTCTGGGTCTGGGGTGGGGGCTGAGGGACATGTGGGGGTGGGGAGCACAGGCAGTGGGCAGCGGTTTTGTGGAGAGCAGACTAGTGAAGGTGGGGGGGAAGGGGCGAATGGAAGACTGTCCTTGTGTGTGCATGATGGAGTTGACTGATGGGGCCGAGGGCAGGGAAAAGAACACCCAAAGGCTTGGAAAGCCCCAACTGTGGGGTCTTTGCCAGCAGAATTGCCCCTCCCACCTCAGCCTTGCCTCTGGAGGGATTGAAGTTCGCATCTGCTCCTGGCTGGGGCCTGGAATGGAGTTTGGGCACCTTGGAGCAGGGAGCTGAATCAGGAGGGCCCTACCCTGTGGGCCCCTTCCAGTGCCCTGGTTTCCAACCCAGGGATGGGTGAGTCCATCCTGTCCATGGTTAGGTCAGGGAGGCCGCGTGGAAGGAGGCCACACCGTTGCAGCAGCCTGAGAATATCACCCTCTCAACCTTTGTTGTCCCTGCCCCAGAGACCCTGGAATGAGGGCTGTTATCAGTTAGGGTCATGGTCCTTCAGAGAAGGACAAAAGGACCTCAAAGGGATGAGTGGAGGATAGTAGCTGGGGTGGAAATGAGGGAGATGGTGGGAGGTGGCCATAATTTTGGAGATGAAATTCCAGACACATGATCTGATAAATGAAATTAGATTTTTCTTTCCCCAGAAAATATCAGGCAGGATGTTGCATCCCGTCAGGTTAAAGGCTGGTGGTGGGTGATTGAAGTTAGACTTCCAGGCCAGGCCCTGGTGGTGTGGGGGCCTTTAGGAAGGAGGTGAGTAAATGTCGTGTCCGGCAGCAGGGGGTTTTGGTCCCTTGACCTTTCAAGCTTTCCCCCTTCCTTCTCATTATATACTGTTTTTCTCTCAAGTGTCAGAGCAGTGGGGCAGGTGACTCAGATGTTCCCTCAGAGTGTGACTGCAGAGGCCTGGGTAGGATTTTGGTCCAGGAAAAAGCCTGCCTCCTCCCCTTCTGTCTGGCCCCTGGCCACCCATCTTCCAAGGGAGTGCCCTCCCCTAGGGACTGCTCCTGCATCACTCTATCTCGGAAACTCCTGTTGCTCAGCGACCAGTCCCTGCTGCTTCTCTAACCTTGCCACTGGGGGTGGGGCAGAGTGGGTGCAGGGGGTAGTGCCCAAGCGGACCAGGTAGGCTCCAGTACCTCTAGGTGCAAGCCCCTAACCAGCTCTGTTCTCATACTTGAACTACTTGGTAGTAGAACAATGTCTCTCCTGGGATTCAGGCAACTCTCCCTGCCCCCGGCCCCATTCCTTCCTGCCCCCCGAACCTGCTTCCCCAATCCACAACCTTTACACCATCACCTGGCCCTACCCTTCCTGGGCCCCTTCCCGGTCCCTGATTCCCAAGCTACCATTCCAAGTCTCTGACAA